CTTTTGAATTTTCAGTATTTCTCCTCATCTAGTTTTAGAACTTCTGTGATGAACAGATCACATTTTAGGTCATATTTATGCAGAAATATTGAAAATTCAAAAGGGTTCATAAACTTTTAAGCACCACCAGTCGTATATAGTGGTGTTTCAAAGTTTGTGAAGCCTTTTGAATTTTCAGTATTTCTCCTCATCTAGTTTTAGAACTTCTGTGATGAACAGATCACATTTTAGGTCATATTTATGCAGAAATATTGAAAATTCAAAAGGGTTCATAAACTTTTAAGCACCACCAGTCTGTTAGAGTTTTAATGGTGATTAGGTAGAGTCTGTTAGAGTTTTAATGGTGATTATGTAGAGATGTAATTTTGCTTTATTCATCTCAATAACTTTTCTTTTTTAAACACAAATAGGTACATTGATCCAACACTTTTTAAGAATTTGAATATGCAGTTAAAATTTGAAATTTTGCTCCACCATTTCTCTGGCATAATTATGGAGTGTTCTGAAGGCAGTAACGATGAGTCTGGTGCATCTATGTCAGGGCTGTAGGTTGTCCATGTCTGCTTTTAGAATTTGCTTTCTGTCTCTCAGTTGAACAGAGCATTCCAAGAAGAGGAGTCTCCATCTATATTCTATTGCATCAATATGCAGTGGTTCAGAGAATGGGAAGGGTTTGTGAAGGGCAAGGACAGTGGTGAGTACTTTTGTAATTCAAAGAGACTACAAATGCATGCTCTAAACATCACATATTTTTAATTAGGTAGTAAATGATTGCAGTAAAATCTTAGGGGAGTGCAGATATGAGTCCTGCATGCATCACATAAAATAGAAAATTATACCTAATATAGTACATGGTAACTATGCATATAGGTGCATAGTCCAGTTTAGATCTGCAGTTTAGGGAGCCTTCGTAATGGTTTTAGTGGGTGGATTTCTTTCAGTTACAGACGACATTTTTGCTTTATGTGATGTATGAAATCAGCCTAAACATTCCAACAATGGTAGCTCTTGAAGGCCTTTGGGACCACATATAGACCTGTATGCAGCTGTTTCAAATTGCACATCACTGGATGAAATGTATATTTTGTTACATTTTATCTATCTGGTATTTTTAAATAAGTATAAAAATATGAGAGTTTTCCTTGGGGTTTTTCTTTGATTAAATAGTATTACTATACTACATTGTAATGTATTTTTTATTTCACTAGACCCTCCAGGTCCCATTGACAATACCAAAATTGGTGTCAGTAAATGTGGTTTGCTTGTTCTGAAACAAGGTATGAATACACTGTTACATACTTTTCTGCATGCAATTTTATCAGTGGTCATGTTCATTTACGGTTCTTTGTTTTTGTGCCTGTATAAAAATGATCTATACCTTTTTGCTATGGGATTAACCATTCCATAAATAAATATGCTCCTTCTATTCTCAAAGGCACAGAGTATAGCGGAAGCTCCCCATTGGGAATGGGGAGTCTATTGATTTTCCAGTCAGCCTCTCATACAGATTCATTATATCCCACAATACCCAGATGCAACTTCAAGCTATGTAGGGAAAAGAAGAAATTATACACATTATTCTAGCCTTTAGGTACAATCACTTTTTTAAATGCTGTTCTGTCAAGAGGTAATGTTGCAGACTAGTTGTATTAACTACCATTTTAAATAAGAGCAGTACCTTAAATCTGTATTTGAAGACTTTCCTCGTTTCTGGGACTGTTTCTGTTCTAAAAAGGAATTGTAAGTTTTTGTCTAAAAGTCTATATGCAGTTCAGCATGAGCTGTACAGAACTGGCTTTGTCATCTCTTGCTATAGTGATTTTCTGACATACGAATTTTCATGTTTAAAAATATGGACATTTCTACCTTCATGGTACAAAAATTAAACTTTAAAAATCTGTGAACAGCTATTTCAAATGTAAAATTTGTGAAAGAATTATCTCACTTCAAGACTCCTTGTAAATATAATTTCCCTTGAGTTTTATATAGTAACTCAAACACAAAATAACATCAGAATGGCAGATAATTGGTTGAGCTGCATCTTCAGTATCATGGCAAGCAGTTACAGACTGATCCAGATAATACTAAACTCCTTAAACCTGGGGCTTTTGTATTAAAGTAGTTACAAATATTGAAGTATTTTCCAGATTTAAGCTTTTAAAATGTCAGTTACAACTTTATGGAAATATATTTGTCTTTTAGGAGCTGATTCTGGACAGATTTCTGAAGAAACATGGAATTTTCTACAGTCAATCTATGGAGGAGGCCCAGAAATTATACTGCGGCCACCTGTTGCTCAAAGTGAACCTGAATCATTACAGACTGAAGATAAAATAGAATTAGAAACACGTAGACTGTAGCCATCTAATCAAGGAATTAATTCTTATAAGATACCTTCCGCTTAGCAGCATACATTCCCAAGATTTTTCACGTCGCTATTTTTATCTTTATTTTTTCTGTGAAATGACAGAATGGCAGGCATTATTTTATCTATGGAAAGTGAATTGAAACACATATTGGTCAATGACCATAATCAAGAACTGAACTGAGATTGAAATCTGTAATATACAAATTATAAATATGTATTAGAACTTTTCAAAGAGACTGATCTTACCTTGAAATTGTGATTTTATTTTACATAATTGTACATATACAATGTATGCATTAAAAATTTAACTGGTCTTTTCACGATATCTATAAATTATCAGGCCCTCTCCATTCAAGTCTTATCAAGACAAGTTGTCAAGGATATTCAACATACTTTAGTGGAAAGGTGGATATAAATTAGCTAGCAATTAAGAAAATAGTAATAATAAATGTCCTAATGTTCTATGAAAACTCAGGAATAGTAATGTTTTCTTTGTGTGTATCAGATGTGTGAACGGTTCAGATGAAACACTGATTTAGTCAGCAAATATAAATAACCCACTATGTACTGTTTAAATTCTCTAATATGTTTTGCCATATGTAAACTATTATCAATAACATATGTAACTGAACAAATCCATAATCTCTAGGAGTATTTGATTTTAAGAGCATGAATTGGCTATACTAATTGGTCATGCAGTTCAGGAAGTTTATGGTCTTTTTTAATTAAATGCATTAATAGTTCCACATGGAGAAAATGTACAGTTATGCAGTGCTTATTGGCATGATATATGATGTCAGATGTTGAATTGAATGCATTCAACAAGATTGCAAAACATTCTAGATTATTCATATTGAAATGTTGAATGTCATCCAGATAATTTTATCTTCCTGAATATTGCCATGGTATAAACAATATGAAATGCTACTTTAATAAAAGCCATTTTTAAAATTGTATAAAGTGTTTGAACTTCAGTCAAAGTAAATATATGTATTATAGATTCATCCTGTTGTATTTCAAAGAGATTAAGAAATGAAAGACAAAATTCATTTTGACTGGGAAAACCTTTGAGAAGAAAAATCACCCTTGTATAGAAATTGTTCATATTGTAAAATTAGGAACAGGGAAAATTAAGATTTGCTTTGTTAATTGATCTTGTGCATGGAAAAGAATTCTTTCATTTACAAATAATTATAGGAAAAACTAGTTTGAACAGATGTTTATCAACTTTGTAATATTAAATGTTTTTCAATTTAAACAATTAACTTGTATTATTAGTGTTCAGATGCCCAGTGGGTGCAAGTACTGTAAGGTTAGCCCAGGACTCTTACTATGTTACAGCAATCCCATTCATCCCTGATATTAGGAACTAATATTACATTTTCACATTTAAAGCTTATTTCAGAGGTTGCACAAGGTAGAAAGAAACCTGTCTTTTCATCCCTCCCCTCCAGTTCCATGAATGCCTATGTTTTAAACACACAGATAAATACAATCAGTTTGTGAATGGGAAGACTAAAGATTCTATAGCATTATAAACTTGATATATCTTGCCATAATTGCTCATAATTCCAAATAGGTTTCACATGAGGCAAATGCAATAATTTCTCCTTAAGCACATACAATCTTGCTGAGCAACAATATTAGAAATACTTGAAGATTTATATTCATGAGGGCTGTGCTTTGGGTGCAAGGGAGCATAAATTTAGCATCTGCCTTCAACATCTTAAAGTACCCACACCTTTTTCTGTAACTTAAATCCATTACTGGGAACAGATATTGGTGATATCCTTTGTCAGGCCCTTCACACCCAGGAAGAACTTGAATTTCTGGAAAGGTATTTATTCCTAGTAGAGTATTATAACAGAATGCTATCAAAGTAATTCTCCCACACAAATTATACCTAGTGTAATGAAGGTGGAGGTACTGTAAGTCTCTTTCTCTTGCTTCCCTCACCCCTAGACTCAAGAACCTCTTCTGTAACAGTCCCGTTTCTTAACTCGTGTTCCCTTCTCTCAGTTCCCATGCTGTTGTTTGGCATTCCATCACATCCTTTCAGGTATTAGAAGAGGGCTATTATACTTCCACTTAGGATTGTCTGCTCAAGGTTAGCAGCTCAGGCCCTTCATAGGTGTGAGTTTCTACTCCTCTAATTAACGTCCTTCCCTGCACCTGCTGCAGTTTCTTTGCATTATTAAATTGTGGGTGTCTCCAGAGCTAGACACTGCTCATGTTGTGGTCTGACCAGCACATAATATAGTGGAGTTATTACCGTATTTTTCCGTCAATAAGACGCCCCCATGTACAAGACGACCCCCACTTTTCC